TATTACAAATGTTAACATCTAAATTAAAAGTCTTTAAAATTAATCTTCAATGTAAAAAAAAAAGTACTTGGTGTTTACTTTTCATATAGAGTTATTATAGTATTATGTAAAATAGAAAGTTTGTGTCATCTCAAAAAGAGAAATCATATTAGTTCATATTCTTTTTCTTCCGACCTTGATATTAATTGAACAATAATGTGGGGAAAAAAATAGCTATATTTCTTTTAATTCATATATTTGTAAGCTTTTGAAATTCAGTTCAAAATAATTAGAAACCTCAATCATTATATACATATATGACTTCAGTTAACCTGTTACATGTTAAAAATATATTAATTTTATATTACATTAACAGTAATAGTTAATCATCAATATTACTAAATCATCAATTGTTCATTTTTAATTAATTTACTAATATTGTAACCGTTTTTGTTCTTTCTATTTTCGTATGCTTAAGCCTTAATACGAAAATGGAAAAAGGTTCGTTTTTAATTTGGGCATAGCAAGGAATAAATCACTACATTATATACAACCGTATATTATTAGGATACACAGAAAACAATAAAGAATCGATTATACGAGTAACTAAAATCCTAATAATAACAATTAAAAACTATCAACAGGATATTAAATAACTTATCCATCTTATATTTTAATAAATAAATATAAATGTATATGTTACAATTTGTACTTAATGCAAAAGCAATTAATAAAAACTAATTAGGTTTATTATGAACTTAAGAAAATTATACCATCCTAATACTAAAGAATAAATTATGTTCAAAAATCATAAGTGGGGTAGCGATTACATTTAATACACATCGGGATGAGGACTATCTTTATATCATGCATAACTAATTAATGTAACAATTATTTTTCGATTCGAATAATTTCAGCAAAGAATTCGTAATGTCCTTTTTGAATAACTTATACATTAACCTTTATGCGACTATTATTTTTTTGTCTTTATTTATTTGTGAAATTATAAACCAAAATTTTAAAACTTATTAATATTATTATTTTACTAAAATTATTAACTAACCAGTGTTGAAATTACGTACTTTTATGAATTTATGTCTTGGGTATTGGAAGGATATTTCAGTACATTATTAATACTTATCTATTGTCACTGTAATGTAATAGTTTATATACATTAATATAGTTTATATAAACTGGGAAAAGTCAATTTGGAACAGTTTTAAGGATAATATAAATTTAAAGAGTACCATTAATTAGTTTTGAGAATTTGGGATTTTCATAATTATACGAGTAATAGGTACATACTACATAATGCATACATAATTTATGGTTATGTATTTTACGAAAGCACCGCTTTATTATAAATCACTTCCTATATAATAATTTTTAAAAAAATAAAGTTCCAAATGTAAGAAATTGAGAAAATTTTTAATTGGATTATTTTTTTTTCGCCATTTTGAGTTCGATTTGCACGAAAATTCACGAACAGAATTTTTCTTGCTGAAGTGTATATAAGTTAATTGTTCTGTTAATCTTTATTCAATATTGCAATAATAATAAAGACAGCCTCACCTTGGAAAGAATTATGGCTTGATTTACAGTGTTGAATAAAAGAACGTTTATGTTTTAATGTTATCTTTATTTTGATTTCTCTTTATTAATTACAACCTTTTTTTGATTTTTATTGATTTTGTTAATGAACTTGATTAAGCAAAAAACAAGTATAAGTGCAGTAGATAATGTAACGATTGAATATTTGAAAGTATTTTGATTTGCTAATTCCTCGTATAATGTGATTAATATTGTCTATGTTGAGTTTATTAAGGTAGCGAAAGTTTAATTTCGTGATTGAGCTGTGTTAAAATAAGTAATTTTGGCGGATGTACTTCGGTGTAAATACTTACTGCTTTTTGTGTGGTTGTTTCTGTATATTGTATCGTTTATTCAGATTACGTCTTTAAATTCAATCAAGAAGGTACCATTGATTGTTATTTGTTGTTGGTCGAATATTTTGGTAGGGGGTCCATCATTGAGAAGTAGTATTCGATTTGCAACAACTTGGACGGGTTGCTTCTGCTGCGGAGTTTCTGTTGGGCACGATGCTTTATTTAGTAGTTATGTGAGGCATTTCGAATGTGATGACCCACATATGATGATTGCAGTTGTATTTTGGCACTAAGCTAATGGTGGCAAATAATTTCCCCAATTTGCTGCTTTATTAGTCTCAAATTTGATTACAGTGGTGTTTTGAATCACAGGAAAGATAGTTAAACAATAACAAAAATTTTTAATTTGTGATATTTTTAAGATATAATAAATTATATTGTCTTGTAAAACTTTAATTGTCGAAACAGTAAACAAACTACTAATACTAACGGGAAAATTGTCAAGATTTATTTCAATATAAAAAAAAATCTGATGTGGTCAGCACTTAATCGACCGTAATGTGTATTGTCTAGTTAAGTGAAAGTGTTACAGAATATTATAAAAATGTCTTTTAAATATTTCTTTCCAATTTTTAGGAGATTAGTAAGTTTATAGTCAACAAACCTAGAAAAATGTAAATTTGGCTCTTAGTAGAACTTCGCTTATTTTCGGGAATAACCAGAACTCAAATATTAAATTTCAAGAAATTCCATCAATTCGTTCCGTAGATATGGTGAAAAATGTAAAATCGACCCGCAAATCAGTTTTCGAGTCCTGATCTTCCCAAAAAATTTATACATTCATTGTTTTAATACGAGGAATTCAAATATTAAATTTCAATGAAATCTGTTGATTATTTCTCTTATACAAAAATGTATATTTGGCCCGTAGTAAACGTCCAGTTGGTGATATCTGATTTCTTCCAAAAGTTAGGAGGTTTCGCAGACGATCGAGCAAAGCTTATATATAAAATTTCAAGTAAATCGGTTGAATATTTTCTTCAAAATGTTCAAAAATGTAAAAGTTGATCAATCCGTGCCATGGTCGAAATAAACTTGAATATAAAATTTCATCAAAATCGGTTCAGCCGAACTTGAGATACACAGACCGACAGGTTGCTAAAAATAGTTTATTTACTCTTCCCTACTATGAAGATGTGCATTCCCACTGAAAACTCGATATGCGAAATTTGTTGCCATCACATAACCTACCTGTTGTACACACAATACGTTCGGTAATAATTTCAATTTCGCTCAAAATAAGTGATATATAATAATATTATTTATATCCAATATCCAAAATAATAATATTATTTTTCAGCAGTACTATTGACAACGAAATGCTCTTTAAATGGTTAATAATATGATTATTTCGATTTATTAAAAATTCGGCCAAAAGTTCAAGTTTCTGTTGTGGGAGGTTGACATAATTCTTATTATGTTCAGTTAGGGTATTTTATTTTTTATTTTTTAAAATTAAATTTATATTTGCTTGCCAATTATTGTTTTCAATCAATTATTTGTTGATAAAAGTTCGTAATCGTCATGATCAGGCGTTCCTACTATAAATTTTAACGCACTGTCAAGGAAGTTGATGGATCTAGTCATACGCTTGGGAATTTCTAGGGTATACATAGCATGTGAGATTTCTTCTATTTGTTGATTTAAATTACTATGATGCCACGTTGCATTTTCTAATTGTGCAAGGTATTCCCAATTTCCTGTAATTATTTCTTGATAGTCCGTAAGTTTCGTTGTGTGGCAAATATTCTTCATAAATTGCCACCTTTCCTTGCGTTATGGCAACAAAGTGTGCTGAAGAGTAGTCTATTATTTTAGCTAAGGTCAGCCGAAGGATGGGGACGAAAAATAATCTGAAATTAACGGAGGTTACTCTTATAGATTTTTCTACCATTTATTAATACTGTTGTTCCTAAATCTTTTTCTACAGTTTCTTCAACAAAAATTTTAGAGAATTTATTACCTTAGCGTTTGTTGGTACGCAAAAAAAAATTTTTCACACGGTTTGTAGGTTTTTGTGTTAGAGTTCGAACTTAATCTATTGAAAGTTTTTCCTTGGGAATGTCTAAGGTTTGCTTTTAATTTTTCGATTTGTTCCGTGGAGTGTTGATGAAGTATATTGATTGGTTTCTCATTTATAACAGAATGAATGGAATTATTGTACTTGTATGTTTCTGATAATAATAAATCAATAGTTTCAATGATATTTTGTTGCTCTTTGATACAGCGAGCGATTTCAAGTAGTGTCGCGTGAAATTTCGCAACTTGACCATTGCTCTCTCTGTAAAGTGTTGGAATAAAAAATTGCTGTATTTCAAAGTGGTCCCTTAGAAATGTTTTTACAGAATTATCATTAAATCCCTTTTCCTTGTCTGAAATTGTGGTTTTAACATTTTTGAATATCGATAAAATTTGGATAAGCGCTTCTTTAATGTCTAGTGTAGACCTTGATGCTATAGGTTTAACAATAGCAAATTTCGAAAGTTTATTAATACATGTTAGAAAGCGTTGTTTGTCCGTAATTAAAATATATATATGCAGGTTTTCTCCCGGAAAGTTCAGAATGGGTGTTTTGAAACTTCTGGTTTCGGGGGTTTGATATTAATTTTCTATGCAAATTTAACAATTTTTAGTTAGTGATTTTAACAATTTCCTCATATTAGGATAGTAATATTCACTTTCGATTTGTTTGAGGTTTTCCTGCATAGACCTATGCGCTCTATTATGCTCTGTAGTCATCATGATTATTAAAAAATTTAACACAAAATTCTTTCATATTGGTATATACTCTTTCTAACACTGACACAGAATTACGATTTTTACAGCAAATTCCCTAGAATAACAATTAAAACATGTACTTGCGATCACATCGGATAATTATATGTGTTGTTATGTACGTTAAGAATAAAACTTCATTTTCAAATATTTTTAAAGCTAGCGAATGAATCACTCTTTTTATGCACATGTTAACGTAATATACATTACATTAAGAAACAGCAAATATATTTTCTAACTTTTTAAAATGATGTTATATAACATTTTATAGTTAATTAAAATATTTTCTTCTCATTACAGACTGGGAAACATTTCCACCGAACTTCACTATTAATTAAGGCTTTTAATCATAAGTTTCGTTTAGATTTGGAATTAAACTCGTAAGTATTTGAAATAAAAATGTTTTAAATTTTGAAAACATCTAATTTATATATATTATTTCTTTTATTGATTTTTGATAAACCAGTCCAAGATATTATTTTTGTAAAATTAATGCGCGCTACATAAAAATGTAATTTGGACCGTCATAAAATACGCAGTTCTCAGTTTTAATAATTTCAATTCTTTTTATGGCTGCATCGACAATGGCTGCTGTTTATAGCTTTTTGAAATTTTTTTTTTCAATTATTTTCTAGTCTAATTTCAAATACATATATGTACAAAACTTCGAGCCAAAAAAAGTAATTAATTCATCCTTTTTTCAAGGCTTTTAAAGCTTTGCCATAATCATATGTGTTCAAAATTGAATTGTAAACTAATATTTTTATTGTAATTTTTTTTTTTCGTTATTTCAGTTATCTTTATTTCCACCAATATTTGGTGGAAAAGAAAACGAAAAAACGAAAACCTTACATTTTGGTCTCTAGATTGTAATCTAATTCAATAAAGAATATTAAGAAATCTACATTTATTACATGCTCTTACATGCACTAATATATTATTCAGAGTGAATTTTTTATGCTATGCATATATTTTATTGTTCTGTATTTATGAAAACAATATTATAAGGGAAAGGTTTCCATATACATCCAATATCATATACCCATGTACTTGGATTCGAAGGCAAAGAATTGAAATTTAAAAAATGTAGTCGGTCAAATGCATGCCTTATAAAATAGAACATTTTCCTTTTATAAATTATGCCTTTTTTTATAGCTTTAGGTCTAAGTAATGCAAATAATTCTCTTATTTTTATTTACATATGTATATTATAATCATGTATAAATTTAAAAGAAATTTCAAAGTTTTAAAAAAATTGAAAGAAAAATACTTCAATAGAACTAGCAGGAAGAATTATTTTCTAGAGAAATAGCACATTCACTTACATGATTTCGAAATTTCTTTTATGTTGAGACGGATAGACAGAGTGTGAAATAATTGAAAATTTTTTTACAAAAATTTTTGAAAATATCCCAAGAATGAGATCTCATCGAAGATAAAATTGGTTCTACCAAAAAAAAAAAAACACAAAAACATAGCACAACGAAATTTTTTAGAAAATATCCATGTACATGTCATACATATTCTAAATGTAATGAAAATATATACACTTAGAACATGTATGTAGAACTAAAACAAGAATAGAAACTCAAACAAAATTATTAACTTGGTAACTATAGTGCGCTAAATTTATAAACACATATTATGTATGTATATAGGTTAAAAAAAAGACAATATAGAGTTACCAAGCGTTCTGTCTTATTTTGTTTTGTGGTAACCATTTTTCCGATATATTCTTCGAATATATTTGTCCTTAGTTCTCTTTTTTTGCCTTGTTTTTACATTCAAAAATAAGCACGTAGATTCTCATTGGAATGAGTTTAACTTAGATTTATTTTATCTTCCTCATTATCAGTTTTTTACTATTGCGGTCAAAATATTCGAAATTCATATTCGATTTATAATTTCAATATTTTCCGTTTTTTTTTTTAATTATGTAAATAATTTTCATGATAGACGCAATATGTGACCTAATCCGCACACTTACCTTACTCAAATTTATTAAGCAGTTTTGCTTCTGGTATTAATAAAATTAAACGGTTAATTAAAATTTTGTTTACCCGATCCAGTTTTTTATTGTCCTTCTACTTGTGAAAATGTGATCAGCTTTCTACACTGTTGCTCTGCTTTTACATACCAACCAAATACCACATAATAATTGTAGAACATCGAAACATTTTCTACATAAAACATAAAATTTTTTACGAAAATTATCTTTAGAAAAAACCCACTAGTAGGACAAAGCCAAGGTAACAGAACATTTGTAGTAAAAGCTGGATCCTCATAGATATTTCTAAAATTTACTTTTTCAAATAAAATTGAAGTAGAGGCCAAAAGGTTGATAAGACCTTAATAGTAAGTTTTCTAGGTACGTTCATCTTAAAGCCGTAAATAAATTTTCGGAGGACTATACATACATATGTGGATAGAAGTCTAAATTCACATTTTTAATGAATATACAATAAAATTTTCATTTAAATCCAAACAGAAGCAAAAAAATTTTACAAGTTCAGTGCACCGAATTCCGTTTAATTTCATCCTAATAAATAGATACATTTCTAGAAATTTTAAGAAAACGAGTTAAACATGATGATGTCCAATTTAAAGGCCACTCAGAATTCAATAATTGAATATTGAAAACTTTTAGAACTTATAGCCACATACAAATAAACTATAGATACACGTGCAAAGGCAAAAAAAATATTTAAACAATGTTCTACGCATAAGAAAGTAAAAGAAATAAAAGTCTGTCTGATTTTATTTTCTGGTATCAATTTTTCTCGGAGAACTCTGCATATCTGATAATATCAGTGCTGTAACAAAATGCAGCAGGTAGTACCCATTTTCAAAAAATAACATTAATAAAATTTCTCGGACATTTTTCAAGAGGAGCTTAAAAATGAGATGCAATTAAATAATTAACAGCAGTTTGTCCTCCAAATTTGTTGAAAATGTACTTAAAAGTAGATAAATATTATGCGCGTAATTTCAAAAATTAGTGTTTTTAAGAAGATTTTCAAATAACATTTATATTTTAGTTAAGATCAATTTTTTGTTATGTGTAAAATTGAAAAATATTTCTGCTAGTTTAACCAAAGACCCAGTTATACATATGTATGTATCATATGTACATATATGGATCTTTGGTTTATATATGGATCTTCATTTCGTATAGACATCTTAAAATTTAATTTTTTACCTAAAAAAATTTTCAAAGTTAAAAAATTTTCAAGAATAAGGCATATTACTTTTTATATTAGAAATATTGTAGTATTTCAATCAAGTTTTTTTTTCGCTAAAAAATCGAAATGATAAACTTTTGTTCAAAGCTTCACCGCTTTGCTAAAAATGAATTTATTTCGAACAGAGGAAAAAGGCATATAAAAACAAAACTGTTTCCAAGATAACGAAACACGAAAAATTCAGTATCTATGCAAGGCATGGTTGCGACACAACGGAAATTATATATTTAAATTGAAAACTGTACATAATTGATCAAAATTTTAGAAAGATGAAAGGAAAAAGTTCAAAAAAAACAGAAAGAATAAATTTTTTTATTATAAATGAAAATTACTTTTAAGTTGCACATTTGAGCATAAATTATTTTTTTTTTTAATTTTTTTGTTTTTTCAATCATAAAAATTTTTAATGTAAATTCTATTTAATTTAAATTAAGTATGTGAAAAGTACTAAATGAACTTGTGAAATAAACTACTTTCGTTCTTAATTGTTTTTATGCTTTTAAAATTTTTAAATAAGAATTATTTTTAATTTAAAAGTGAATTCTATTTCATATTCATTATTTTTAAGCAAATTAAACACAAACTTAATTAAAAATGTTTATATTTTCTTAAAATTCAAAAAAAGTTTATGTATATATTTTTACCGACCGCATTGAATACAATGAGGTAGGTTATGTGATGGCACCAAATTTTTGATGCCAAGTTTTCAGCGGTAGGAGTGTAGGGAAACGTAAAAAAAATATTTTTAGAGAACGTCGGTCTGTGTGTGCAGACGTGTATTTTAAGTTCGTCGGAATAGATTTTGATGAAATTTTATATGTGAGTTTATTTTTGCTACAATTTTACATTTTTGCGAATATAAAAAGAAATGATTAACCAATTTCGTTTAAATTTAATGTTTAAATTCGGGGTATTAGGACAATGAATCTATAAATTTTTTTGAAAGATCAGGGCTCGCAAACCGAACTTGGGGTCGATTTTAGATTTTTTACCATACCTATGAATAGATTGATAGAATTTCGTGAACTTAGATATTTGAGTTCTGGTTGTTACCAAGAAAGTTCACACTTTTTTAGGTATGTTAACCAAAAGCTTACTAGTGCCCTTAAAATTGCATATAGTATGTATTTAAAACGCATTTTCATAATCTTCAGTAATAGTTTCACTAAACTAGGGCTTGCGCATTGCGGTCGGTTATACGCTGACCACATCAGATTTTTTGATATTTAAAAATATAAATAATAAAAATGAATAATGAATATATAATAAAATAGCTATAATTAGTAAAGTGAATAAAAAATTAGTACTTTAAGTGCATAACAAAAATACAATTTTGACTCAAACAATATTCACCTGAATAATACTTACTAATTTATTTTGTTTGCTCTATTTGATAAGGTTTCTTGTTTGATAGTTAAACAGCATTTCTGTTTTTTTTTTTTGGTTTGGTTTTTAGATATAATATCTTATTAAATTGAAGTCTTTTCAATTTTGCCAATGAAACTGGAATCTCAGCTTATATGTTTGTGAAATTTATTACATAGATCAAATAATTTTCAAAAGAAGATCATATGAAACACAAAAATTTGCTCGCACTAGAAATAAGAATTTATATTGATTTTACCTTTGAAAAATGCGCGTGCAGATGTTTAAAAACAATCCATTTTAATACAACAAAGATATTTCTCAAGCAAAATCTTGTAAATATTATTGTGGTTGAGGTTTACCGTCACTACAAAAAATTCGGCTGTTACCATCCGTGCGCGATGTAATTCGATATTTACTTACCATTTTTGTGAATACGAAAATCGAACCTCTGAGCTCTGTTTTATTGTCTATTGGTAAACTGTCAACTTTTACAATTAAAAAAATTTTACTTCAATTTTCTTGATTATCGACGTTTTCGTGTTGAATATTTACATGAACATTAGAATTTTCGAAATTATCACAAATATTAACAATATGTTCACGAACATATTTTCAAAACATTTGCTACGGTTTTTTATTTGTTTTGGTTTTCGACAGTTTTGTCAAGTTTAAAACTATAAAAAAAACTATACTTCCATGTTTCTCATACATGTTTTGGGTGTGATTATTTGCAATTCAAAGGCACATTGAGCACATTTGCAACTATGAAA